TTTTTTCCCCCACTGCTCAGTGTGGGTAGTAGTTTCTCATTTTTATTGATTACCTCAACAAAATCAGCTTTTAATTTTTTTTTGTTTGTCCTCTTTCCAATTTCATCAATTTCCATTACAATCTTTACTATTTCCTTTCCTCCACTTATTTTGGGCCTTATTTACTCTTTTTTGTAGTTAAAGGTGGAAGTTAATTAAAGGTAGAAGCTGAGGTCATCAGTTTGAGACATTTATTCTTTCCCAAACATAGAAAGTTAGTGCTACCACTTTCCAAGTATTGCTTTCAATCCATCCTACAAAATTTGAAATGTGGTCTCTACATTCAATTCAAAATACTTCCTAATTTTTCCCTTTTGATTTTTTTCTTTGACCTATGAGTTATTTAGAAGTGTACTATTTATCTGGAACTTTTAAACTTTTATTTGGAACAACTATTTGCAACTTTTCCAGACAGCTTTGCTATTGGTTTCTAATATAATTCCATCACAAAGAACACACTTTGTACTTTAAATGTATTGACATGTTTAATGGCCCAGAGTATGACCAATTTTATTAAATATACTGTGTAGACTTGAAAAGAATGTGTATTCTGTTGTTGTTGGGTAGAACATTCTATAGATGACAATTAGGTCACACTGGTTGACAGTGTTGTTCACGTCTCCTATATCCTTATTGATTTTATGTCTACTTGCTTCATTAATTATTGATAGAGGTGTTGCAGCCTCCTACCATGATCATGGATTTGTCCATTTTTCTTTACAGTTTTATTAGTTTTTTGCTTCATGTATTTTGAATTTCCATTATTAGGGGATTTTTTTTTTTTTTTTTTTTTTTTTCGAGACAGAGTCTTGCTCTGTCACCCAGGCTGGAGTGTCATGGTGCAATCTGGGCTCACTGCAACCTCCACCTCCCGGGCGCAAATAATTCTCATGCCTCAGCCTCCCGAGTAGCTGGGATTACAGGTATGCACCACCATGTTCAGATAATTTTTTTGTATTTTTTCATAAAGATGGGGTTTCATCATGGTTGGTCTCAAACTCCTGGCCTCAAGTGATCTGGCTGCGTTGGCCTCTCAAAGTGCTGGGATTATAGGCTTGAGTCATGACACCCAGCCAGGGGCATAAATATTTAATTCCCTTAATGAACTGGCTGTCCTTATCCCTGGTAATATTCCTTCTTCTGAAGTCTACTGCATCTGATATTAACATGCTCACTTTGGCATTCTTTTGGTTAGTGTTCAGTACAGTATATATTTCTAATCTTTTTTGCCCTTATATTTCAAGTGGGCTTCTAGGCAACACAGAGTTAGTTTGTACTCGTTTATCTAATTTAACAGTATCTCCCTTTCAATGGGGCTGTTGAGATCATTTACATCTAACTAAAACATTAATGACTGGATTTAAATCTACCATATTGTTTGTTTTCTACTTGTCTATTTCCATCTATTCTTGTTCCCATTTTCTTCTTCTTTTGAATTAATTAATTAACTTTTTTAAGAGATGAGGTCTTACTCTGTCGCCCAGGCTGGGGTGCTGTGGTGTGATAATGGCTAAGTGCAACCTCAAACTCCTGGGCTCAAGGGATCCTCCTACCTCAGCCTCCCAGGTAGCTAAGATTATAGGCACGTGCCATCATGCCTGGCTATGGTTTGTTTTTTTTTTTTTTTTTGCTTTTTTGTTGAGATAGTCTCATACTATGTTGACCAGATTGGTCTTGAACTCCTGGCATCAAACAATCCTCCTGCTTTGGCCTCCCAAGGTGCTGGGATTACAGGTGTGAGTCACCACCAGCAGCCAACTGCTGTCATTTTTAGCTTTGTTCCTATTCACATAATGTGTCTTTTTTTTCCCTAGATACACTTATGATTTTTTAAAATACTAAAAAAGGAAAGATACTATTAAGGATGTTATTAGATCAACCAACAAAATATAGATGATAAATCAGATAAAACACAGTATCAACCTATATTTATGAACATGATAAGCATACTGTGGTTATGTTCAGTACAGAAGAGAAAGGGATAGTGGTAGAAAGTGCAAAGGAGAAGGAAGATGGGGTAAAATGTTAACAATGTCAATCTGGGTAAAAGGTGTACCTTATACAGAGAGTAAGCTATTCTCTGTACTAATTTATTTTGAACTTTTTGGAAGTTTTAAATTATTCAAAAAAAGGTAATATTTAAAAAGCCAATTCAACATGCTCTGGATCCTCTCCCCTCACACAACAGGTCTCTTCCCTCCCTCTCTCTCATCTTCTTTCCTCCTCTTCACTAGATCATTCGGCTAAGCTTGGGAACACATTCTTCCATTTAAATATTAACAATCACAAGCAAACAAAACATCTCCTGATCCACTGCCACTCTGGACTTAACGAAAGCTTCATCTACTCACATTGTCACACTTTACCATCACTTTCCACTTATCTTCAACCCAGTCTGCCCTCACCACACTTTGAAATGCCTCTTGCTAAAGTCACCAAACACCTCCAGGTGGCCAACTGCAAAGGATACTCATCAGTTATGCCACCTCACCTTTCTGGAGCATTTGATAGTGCTGAGCACACCTTCCTCATTAAAATATCTACTTCTCTTGGTTTTGGATCAAACACTCGATTTTCCTCTTGCCCCTCCATCACTCCTAAGTCTCCTTTGCCATTTCTTCATCTTCCACCTGACTTCTACTGGCTAGAGTTCTTAACATTCTCAGTCCACTCCATCTCTCTAAGTGGTCTCATCCATTCTCATTATTTTAAAATCTGTCTACAGGTTGATGACTCCCACATTTCTTCAGCCCAGAACTTACTTCTGAAATTCATCCAGTCCGACCGCTTGGACATAGTAAACTAACACTTCTCAAACATATTCAAAATTGAGCTCTTAGTCTCCCTTACCCCCAAGCATTGCCCGCCCCCTGCCCCCACCCCATGGCCCCACCCGCCTGCCATCTTCTCTTTTCAGTAGGTGCCATGTCCATTCATCCAGATGCAAAAGTCAGAAAACCTAGTATCATTTTTTGAATGTTAAAATTATGAGTGATATTTTTTCTTTATGCACTTCAACAGTTTAAAATTTCCCTGTAATAAACCTATTTATAAATAATCAAAATTAAAAGAATCTCAAAAGAAGACATACAAATGGCAAACAGGCATATGTAAAAGGTGCTCAATATCATTGATCAGAAAAATGCCATCAAAACTACAATAATGTCTCACCACAGTTAAAATGGCTTTTATCTGAAAGACAGGCAATAGCAAAGGCTGGCAAGGATGTGGAGAAAAGAGAGCTCTTATAAACTGCTGGTGGGCATGTAAATTAGTACAATCACTATGGAGAACCATTTGGAGGTGAGCTACTATATGATCCAGCAATCCCACTGCTGGGTATATACCCAAAAGAAAGGAAATCAGCATATGGAAGATATCTGCACTCTCATATACTGTTTGTTGCAGCATTGTCCACAATAGGCAAGATTTGGAAGAAACCTCAGTGTCCACCAACAGATGAATGGATAAAGAAAATGTGGTACACACAGTGGAGTGCTACTCAGCAATAAAAAAGAATGAGATCCTGTCATTTGCAACAACACAGATGAAAATGGGAGGTCATTATGTTAGGTCAAATAAGGCACAGAAAGTCAAACACTGCATGTTCTCACTTTTGGGATCTACAAATCAAGACAATTGAACTCACGGACAAAGAAAGTGGAAGGATGGTTACCAGAGGCTGGGAAGGGTAGTGGGGGAGTTGGGGAGAGGTGTGGATGGCTAATGGATAAAAAAAAAAAAAAAGAATGAGACCTAGTATTTGATAGTACAGCATGGTCTATAGTCAATAACAACTTAATTGTACATTAAGAAATAACCAAAAGAGTATAATTGGATTTTTGGTAACATGAAAGATAAATGCTTGATAGCAAGGATACCCCATTCTCCATGATGTGACTAGTAATACCTAGTATTTGATAGCACAATAGAGTGACTATAGTCAAAATAATAAACATTTAAAAATAACTAAGAGTATAACTGGACTGTTTGTAACACAAAGGATTGATGCTCAAGGGGATAGTTATCCCATTTCCCAGGATGTGATTATTACACATAACATGCCTACATCAAAACTTCTCATGTACCACCTCTCTATACATACACCTACAAAAATTAAAAATTAAAAAATAAAATAAAAACAACCAAAACCTTTTGGACAACGAGAAACAAAACAAAGATGTGCTTAAATATAATGCTATATAGTTTTTATTTATTTATTTATTTAGAGACAGAGTTTCACTCTTGTCACCCAGGCTGGAGTGCAATGGCGCCCAGGTGGAGTGCAAATGCTGCGATCTTGGCTCTTTGCAATCTCTATCTCCTTGATTCAAGTGATTCTCCTGCTTCAGCCTCCCGAGCAGCTGGGATTATAGGCACCCACCACCACGCCCAGTTAATTTTTGGTATTTTTAGTAAAGATGGGGTTTCATCATCTTTGCCAGGCTGGTCTCGAACTCCTGACCTCAGGTGATCCACCCGCCTTGGCCTCCCAAAGTGCTGGGATTACAGGCGTGAGCCACCGCACCCAGCCTAGTTTCCGTTTTTAATTTTCATTTTGTGAGTGTTATTAGTCCGTTTTCACGCTACTGATAAAGACATACCCAAGGCTGGGCAATTTACAAAAGAAAGAAGTTTAATGGACTTACAGTTCCACGTGGCTGGGGAAACCTCACAATCATGGCAGAAGGCAAAGATGAGCAAGTCACATCTTACATGGGTGGCAGCAGGCAAAGAGAGAGCTTGTGCAGGGAAATCCCCCCTTAGAAAGCCATCAGATCTCATGAGACTTATCCGGTATCATGAGAACAGCATGGGAAAAACCCGCCCCCATGATTCAATTACCTTCCACCAGGTCCCTGCCACACCACATGGGAATTTGAGATGAGATTGATGTAGGGACACAGTCAAGCCATCTCAGTGTCTAAATAAGGTACTAAAAATATTAACTTTCACATTACCAGAAGTATTTGGATTTACTGAAGACATCACAGAATCCACTTCTATCTAGAAAAGAGGAAAAAATAATAGAACATGTAATTTTATCAAATGTTTTCACAGCACAAGTTCTTAATTCTTCAGGTGGGAATAAGCATCTATTTTATGAGAAACCAAGTTTGTTGAACCAAGCAGACAAGCAATGACACACAATAGCTATAACAGTCATTTTACTTTTCATCCACATCTATAAAATAGCAGACACTAATCTGCTAGCCTCTAATAGCCCCCAAAACTTTATTCCACTGACCAAAACAGTTTAAGCACAGAAAATCAATTTGGCTGTCCCATATATAATCTAACAGGCAGCCTTTCTGCTTCAGACAAATACAAACAATTGTTATAATGGGCACTATGGCTCTATTTTTAAATTTTTTTTTCTGGTTGTAAAAGTACCACAAGATTGATGTAGAAAGCACAAAAAATTATGAGGAAAATTAAAAAATCAGTCATCCAGTGAAAATCACTGTTATCATTTTAGACTAATCAGCTTTTTTCCCCTATGCATCTTTAAACATTTGAGATTTTACTGTATAGAAAACATGAGGACCTGCTTTCACTAAATGTTAAAATATAAGCCCTTTACCACACTGTTAAAAGGGCTTTATAAACATTATAGTATTAGAGCCCTGGTGGCATCTGACATAATTTCTCCACTTCTGGTCTTGAACTCTTCCCAGTCTTGGATTTCCTGCATTTTCTTGGTTCCTCTTGTCCCTGCCAAATGGTTCCCACTCCAACTTCTTCAAGTCCCTTCCTACCCTTAAATGCTGGTATTCCCTAATGTTATCCTCAGACCACAGCTCTTCCTATTCTGCATACTCTTCCTGGGCAATGCCATCCAGCCTCATGTTTTGAGCAACCACATGCAAACCAAGGATCCCCAAGCCTATCTCCAGCCCTACCCTCTCCACCCAATTTCAGATTCCTACATCTCAGGGAAGCAGTAACATCTAACAGCAGATTTTCACCACCATAACCTCAATAGACAGCACATTATTTAACGAGTGAATGCACCTGGAATGCTCATAGCTGCCTCAAACTCAATGTGTTCCAATCGAAACTCACTGACTTCCTCTGAACCTACTCTTAAATTTTCTCTTAATTGGTGGTATCGCTATCCCTTCAGTCCTGGTGGTCATGTCACCCTTACCACCACTGCATCCAGTCAGTCATCAGGGCCTAACTTGTCCCACCACCCACAAAGTGTTCCCAGATACTTACCAGAGTAATCTATCTTCTCTAGTCTAAATGACCACCCAGACTGTTATAGTTACCACTAGAATTAGGCCTTCCTTCTTTGTTCCCTTCACTTTCTGTTTTTCAATCTCTTCTCTTTCTTGGTATCTATCACAGTTTTATGTCTTTCTACATTAAACTCTGAACTGCTTCAAAGTAGAGACTGTGTTTCATTCATCTTTATATCACTAGCAACTAGCAAGTACTCCTTTTATTAAATAGAAACAATAAATTTCACTATGTGTGGGTGGGCGCAGTGGCTCACGCTTGTAATCCCAGCACTTTGGGAGGCTGAGGTGGGCAGATCACTTGAGGTCAGGAGTTGGAGACCAGCCTGGCCAACATGGTGAAACCCCGTCTCTACTAAAAATACAAAAAAAAGAAAAAAAAAGAACTAGGTATGGTGGTGTGCACCTGTAGTCCCAGCTACTCTGGAGGCTGAGGCAGGAAAATTGCTTGAACCTGGAAAGTGGAGGTTGCCGTGAGCCTAGATCACGCCACTGCACTCTAGCCTCGGTGACAGAGCAAGACTGCATCTCAAAAAATAAATAAATTATGTAAACAACTGCATGAACGTATAAGTGATTTATTATATAAGTATTTTATTGCTTCATGACCTGCAGTCAGTAAATATTTCATTTGCTCAAAAGCAATGTTCAAAAATGAAACCCCAAACCTCAACCTAGTCTAAAAAATCTGTTGAATTTCACAGAAATTATATATTAAGAGTTACTTGCAAAATAAAAGTTCATTGTACAATGACTAAGTTTATAGGTGACACGCTATTAGTGAATACTTTACCATTTAGTGATCTGTGGTTAGTAAATAGTTCATTTGCTTAAAAAATAAAATGGAAAACCTCATCCCAGTATGAAAAGTAAAATCTGTTAAATTTCATGGAGTGTATGTACAGTATGTTACATCACTGTATTTGTCATTAAATTTCTCATTCTAAAATTGAAACCAAGTAGACTCAACGGTGAGAAAGGCAAAATGAGACAAGATACCTTTCCAGGTGAATCCAAGTTAAATACAATGCTTCACAGGCTGACTCATTTTAGCTGACCTGCTTTTTAATTCCAGCTGAAATGATTACAGGTAAACAGGAGAGCTGCAATTTCTAAAAGTTGGCCCTGACTACTTCTCTGAGCGCCATAATAAGCTTCTCAGTAACTAGGCATCCCCTCATAGCTGAGCCACTCTGAACCCACCTGGGCTGTCCATGCAACCTACTTGGGTCAAGATAATATATTAATACTTATTGTACATCACAACTTCACAGTATGTTCTGTTGACACAAACAGAGCAGAGAAGCATGACATCACAGGGTCCCCGGCTTTGCTGGGCTTTCAGTCTGACAGAAAGGCAGAGCCCACTCATCAGGAACAGCTGGGCCCTAATTAATTGCCAAGCTGTCTGGTCTAATGAGAGTGAGGGACGGCATTCCAGGCCGAGCCCTGAGTGCTCCCTTTGCTTGATGGTGGCAGCTCAATTTCTTGAATCTGGACAGTATCTCGACTACGACTAATTCCAGCTTAACAAGAAGGGCGTTGTCTCTAGAATGAATGTAACAGGAAAGCAGAAAAGCATAAAGACAGGGGTGAACAGGAAGCTTGCCCTACTCAAGTACGAGGTTCATGGAAGCTCAGCTCAACTCTCATTATTGGTGAATTGGTGCAATCTTTTCTGGAGAGCAAATATCCAACAAAATTTTAAATGTACATATTTCATGACCTAGCAATTATACTTCTAGGAACTTATTCCACAGATACACAGCCACAAGGACATAAATGTGTGTATCATTGCAGCAATGTTTGTAGGAAAAAAAACAAAAACAAACAAACAAAAACACATATATAACCCCACACAGGAACCTGGCTAAAAAGAATAATGTGCAACTATATTTTAAACTGTGGTAGTGGTGTGTGCTTTTAGGTTGATATATTGTTAAATGAGAAAAGCAAGTTAAAGTAGGCACAATATTTACCCATTTATGGTTTCAGTAAAAGACTATGCATATATATGTCATGGATAGAAAATTTCAGAATTACACAAAAAACTGTTAATGGTAATCCCCTAGGAGCTGGACCCTCTGGTAGGCGGGGAGCAGATTTTTATGCTCAACTTTATACTTTTCTGCACTGTTTTAATTTTTTGACTGTGGATGTATTTTATAAACAAAGCAACAAAAGTAAAACGAGAAAGAGACTATGTCACGTCCTATGTAAATTTATCCTGTTACCAGCACTTCCCTTTCGGCCTTCCCTCTTAGCACCTCTCTAGCGTCTTGTATTTATAATGGTTATTAGCAGCCTGGTAGTGAGATAGGCTTGTGTAGGCTCCAGTGGAAAAGATTTCTACTTCATCTCTGGGCTGAGGTGTTAAGAGGAAGCTAAAATTCAGCACTGGGCACATCTCTGAAATTGCTTATAAAGCAATTTATAAACATCCTAAGCTAGCCCTGTGGACTTTTCTCAAGGTCCATTCACCACTGATCGTCTACCCCATCCCCAAATATATAAGAAAGCTCTACCTTGGAGGGCTTGTACCCAAACAGCATTACAACAGCAATTTTAAAGTCCTCTCTGCTGAGATATCCTTTGTGATCTTCATCACATGCCTTAAATACCTGAAGAACATTAAATAGCTTTAGTTAATGAGACAGAAACTGTTTCTTCTTATTTTTATTACTAGTTTATATAATTTGGACCTCGAAAATCTAAAACTTGGCCCAGCGGTAGAGTATGAAAATAGAATTTCATTATTCCAATATTAATTCTCAAGAAAAATCAAAGATGGACTAAAATCTTCTTAAAGATGGGCTGAAATTTCCCTCAAGAAAGTAAAACCAGTTAATCGCTAGGATGACGCAAATTAATTCACTTAGACCACCGAGATAAATTCTACCCAAAATTCAGTCCTGGAGTTAGGAAGGTGAGGCAAAGGGGCTGGCTTTGAAAGGCGGGAGTAGAGATGCAGATTCGTGGTTACCATTAATAGACTATGTAGAGGGAAAGGAGAAGGAACTTGGAGGTAGCCGTAGTCCTGGACGGGGAGCCAGGAGCCCTGCAGCTCCAGGATCAGTCATTAACCACAACCCTTTGGACAGGTAGCCCAGGTCTTATCTGTACAACCCGGCAGAGAGAGACCCAGGCGCGGGGGAGAAAGCGAGAGGCCCAGGCCAAGCTGAAGTCCGAGGCTCAGTCGCCCTCCGGACACCTACTTCCACCCACATCCTGTGTTCCGAGGGACTGGCTTCCCACGTCCGCGACCTGGCTCTGGCCTCGGAGAAGAACATCGCGACTGCAACAACCGAACCCCAGCACCCCAAACACCGCCCACTGCTGCCCCGGCCTGGCTCGCAGCCTAACGCGGCCACGCCCGCCGCGGCTCAGGAAGCCGAACTTCACCGCGCAACTCCGTCGTCTCCTCCCATTGGACAACCTGCCAGCCCACTCGCGTTAATCCCGCAGGGCTATTGGCCAGAGCCTTTGTTTAATTAAGTTTCCTAGGAGCCGCCCAGGCAGTGAGGCGCCCAGGCCTGCCCCCAGCACTTGGCTCCGCCCCCTCTGTCCCCTTTACTAGTTGCGTGTGGCCGGAAATCCAAGCGCTTCTAGGTGCTGGTTCAATGCCTGGTTCATGATTTATTTCATTTTCTCCCTCCATCTTGCAGTAAGTTACTTTTAATCATTTAGATCTATGACACTATGCTAAACATTATTGGAGACAAAAAGAGTGTGAACAAACATAAAGACAACCAAACGAAAAGAGCCAAGTCCAGGATTCTCGTTCAGATCAGCAAGTCATTGAGATCGAGCTCCCAGGGTAGCTACTACATCTGCTCTGTCCTCCAGATAACCCCAGCACCTAGCACTGTACATGGCACAAAGTAGATCTTCAATGAACGAACGAAACGAGCCGTTATGTTTACACAAATGTATTTCACTCAGTCCTCTGGAAGACATGCCTAGTTTGAGAGAGATTCCAAGAATAAATACCACAAATAGCAGAGCCCAAATCCCACAGCAAACATCCTTATTGAAGGCAAGGACTGTGGGGCGAGTTCCGTTTCTCAGAAGATTTTAAAAGAACGCAACTGTTTCGAAGAAGGAACAGACATTCGAAGTTCTGAGTCCGGTGGGAACTCATTTAACATTTTATTTTACAGCAGATTTCAAAGTCTGCACCCAGCCCTTCCCAGGACACAGGTCTCCTTGCAGCTGCCTTTATCCTAAGCGTATCCTCTCTCCACTTTAAACCAAACGCCGCTGCATGGAGTCCCGGGAGCCTGAGCCATGAGAATTCCGTAAAGAGGGTGAGTCTTGCTCGTAGTTAACTAGAGAGAAGTTAGGGGACGCCTTTCTGGTTCTCCATTCGTTTTAAGAAGTCTCCAGGAGATCAGCCAAGAGCTAGGGGAGACGAGGTCTCCCGAGCCCCCTCCTGGGTAGACACCCGGCGGGCTTTAGGACCCAGCGGTGCGTTCCCCGGAAGGGGAAGGGGCCGGACCTCGAGCCCCGCGCCGCTGCCCCGAGGGTTTCAACTGCGCGCATGCGCGGCGGCCGCCGAAGGGGCGGGATCCGAGGCGAGCGTGGGTTCGGTGCGCCTCAGGTACGTGTTGGGCGGCAGCGGGCGCGAACTCGGTGCGGTCTCTCGAGGGCTGCGGTCCGGCCCGGGAACCTGCTCCTGACCGGTCGCGGTTCGCGGGCTGCTGGGGTCCTGCAGGGCTGGAGGCGGACTGCGAGGAAGCGGCGCGGCCGGGAAGACGGGGCAGGGTCGCCTCGGCCCCTGGGCCTCGGTTTCCTCCGATCACAGCGTCTCAGGGGGCGCGCACAGGCGCCGCGGAGACCTGTGTCCTGCCTGGGCGCGGCGCTAGGGGCCCCTGCTGGGGTTTTTATTCCCAGACCTAAGCTTACAGGTGCGTGGTCCCGGAAAGTGAGTGGGAAAGCGCCCACCACGTGCCAGACGCTTAAGCTTTCTGTGCTTGGTTTCTCAGTATAGGAGGACGGTCACGGTACGTAGTATAGAGTTGTCCTGAGGGTGAAGCGAGTTTACACCCGATGAGGCGCTTCCAATCGTGCCTGGCCGGTCCCAGATGATCGCACAGTAAGGTTGGCAGCTGCTGTCATCACTTCCTCACCTTCCGAATCGGCTCCCGTCGAACGCCTTCAGCAAGAGCCCTCTCACTTCGTCTCCAAACCGTTCTCCACAGAGTTGGAGCGCACACAGTTGTATTAAAAAGGCAAATCGAAGGCCGGGCGCGTTGACTCACGCCTGTCATCCCAGCACTTTGGGAGGCCGAGGCGGGTGAATCACTTGAGGTTAGGAGTTCGAGATCAGCCTGGCCAACATGGTGAAACCCCGTCTCTACAAAATTAGCCGAGCATGATGGCGGGTGCCTGTAATTCCAGCTCCTCGGGAGGCTAAGGTGGGAGAATTGCTTGAACCTGGGAGGCAGAGGTTGGAGTGAGCCGAGATTGTGCCATTGCACTCCAGCCTGAGTGGCAGAGCGAGACTGTCTCAAAAAAAAATAAATGCAATTCGGATTCCCCTTCTTCTTAAAGCCCTAAGTGAGACCCCATTGTTCATAGCATAAAATCCAATTTCTTTAACGGGTCTTCTCCCCTCACCCCCTTCATCCTGGACCGTTGCCTGCGTTGCCTAAGCCCTTTTTTATGATCTCTTTCCCATCTGCAGGCTGGGTACCCTCTAGTTGGAATGCTCTTCACCCCATCATTTAGACAGCAGGTTCCTTTTGGCCCTCTGGGTCTCATTTATATGTTACTTCTTCAGCATATTCCCAAAATCACCCCTATTTTTCTGTCTCATACTTATAAAATGTAATGAATGTCTAACTCATCTTGGCTATTAAAATTTTTATATGTGGGTCTGTCTCTTCTGCCCTGAAATTATGCTCTGCTAGGATAGAAACTATATTGTTAACGCCTCATTCCCAGTTTTTGGTACATAATGACTGCTCAGAAAGTTGTTGAATGAATGCACTCCAGGGGGTAAGCATGATAACCATTTTACAGACTAAAAAACAGAAGCTCAGCAGTTAACTAATCTGCCTGAGTGCACATTTACTCCTTAGTCATGGCTGGGTTTGAGACAGGGCCCATGCTGCCTTTGGCCACACAGGAACTCAACTGAGGAGCCTGGCTCCCGGGCCCACCTGATGGTCTTTAAGCTCCATGAGAAGGAGCAACTGGAGGTGAAAGAGAAATGCCCCAGCTGGGTCTGGTATAGTGGGGAGTGAGGAAACACTTAGCAGCTCTAAATGGAGTACCTTTCATATCCACAACATGTTTTAAAGTCCTTAATAAAAGCGCTAACAGTGTCCTGAGCTAGCGTTTGGTGGGAAAATTTCTTTAGATTTTTCATGTTAGTGCAGTGTTTGCCAAATTTCAATCACACTCACCTGCCTTCTCCCCACTTTGTTTTATTCTCTTAACACATATGACACGGGATTTTTTTCAGGGCCGCTTCGCCAGCTGGAGACCTCCAGCCCTGGGCTGGCCGCAGGAGGTGCCCTGCCCACTCAGCCTGGCATTGTGCGTTTGGCTTTCCTCCTGGCCCAGATCCCGTGGCCACTATGCACGCTCAGCCTGCAAGGAGTAGGTGTATGAGTGAGCCTGGAGGCCTGGATGGCTGTTCCAAGTGCTGGCCCAGGCACAGACTCCATGCAGGACTGTGGATGGCCTGGGCGTGTGGCAAGTGACTCTGGCATCAGACTCTGGTGTCCAGATGAGGGGGATGTGGTGGTGCCCGAACACTTGAAGACGCCAGGCAAATAGGGATGTATTAACAGCTCTTTTAGTCCCGCCATCTGCAGCCCAGTAAATGGAGGTGTGTGGCAGCCAGCGGTTCCCTCTCCCATTGTTCCACCAGCGGAACAGAGTGCTGCTACAGGGCTATAGCTCTGTTTGTACTTGCTGTTATCAGGTCCCAATTTCTTGTCCTGCATCCAAGAATAATAAGGTTAGGGTGACAACCAAAGGGGAGAAGGGTGGAGATGAGTTTTATTGAGTGATGAAACAGTTCTCAGCAGAGAGGGGACCCCAAGTGGGTGTCCCCTGTCCCCACCCAAAGATGGGCAGTTCCCTGGTATGGCTGAGTCAGGGGTTTCATGGGCTCAGAATGGGGGAGTGTGTGCTGATCGGTTTGTAAGTATGCAAAAAAGGCTGAAACAAAGGCACCACTCAAAGATGGGCTTGACAATGTAAAAAACCAATTAGGGAAGGGTAGGTATATGTAAAGTAGGTGAAGGGTGGTGATTAATTAGAGGAAGCCGTGCCCAGTGGGAAGAGAGGTTATCAGTCCGGTCTGTGGATTTATCCAAGACTTGTAGCTTGGCTTTCAGGCTTTAAACTGTCTTTGGTCTGCAGGTGGGGTTTTAATGAGGCTCTGCCCCTGTCTGCCTAGGGATTTGTCTGCCTCCTGCTGCTATCACATAGACTATCATATACTTAATATTTTTGTTTGATTCCAATCATTCTTTTACATAAAGTAAACTTTATTTTGCTATTTCAAATATAATGTAGCCATCAGATACCTTCTGTTGATGGTAAACAAAATTGTTGGTGCCTGCAGAAGAGCCCAAACCCTGCTATTTGTTCCAAATCAAGATTAAAAGCATTTCTACAACACTACAACTTTCTTCTTGATTTAAACAGGGAGTTTGGATGGGACGGGAAAGGGAGGTACTTTCATAATGTCAGGTCCCAATCACTTCCACTTTAGGAAACACTATGCCGTCCTGACTGAGTGCCAGGATTCAGCATCAACACAGCTGTATTGTATTCTCTGACTCTTGCGGTACCACTTACCAAAAGTGTGACTTTAGATTTATGCTGTACCAAGCACTGCCCAGACAGGGAAGACAGATGATAAACAATGGAAGGAAAGCTCTTGGGTTCTACATTTGTTAAAACTGTACGACTTGATTACAAAGCACTCTGGAATGCTGGGCACCAGAGCCTGTACGAGGGAAGTAAATTCTGTTACTGGTGACCATCCAGTTATCCAAAGTAAAAATTTGATATTGGTGCTTACCAGCAGTTCTTTTCCAGCCAGCCAGGCGCGAGCCTTGATTTCATAAAGAGGTTGGTAAGCTGCTACACTTAACAATAATACAATTTTATTAGTGTATTGTACTAAATTGTAACTGAACAAATTGTATTGGGTTGTCTTTAATAAACGACTCAGGCATATTTTTGAATGTCAGCAGGTCCAAAACTTTATGTATAGAGCAGAACCTCAAAAAAGACTTTGTTCTCTAGAAAATGTCTTTTTTTAAAGCTTTGTTCTATTTTTTACCCACTTGTCCTACTTTGTTGGAGGGAATTCCACTTCCATATGGTTTTAGAAAATGTAGATAATGA